TTTTAAATTAATTTTTGTGATTAATATATATATTTTTTGTTTTTCTTTTTATATGAAAAGCTTAAATAAGCTGAATGAAAAATCGGGTTATGACAATATTCACCAGATAAAGTTGAGCTATTTTAATAGTAGTATAAGGATGCGATAAGGCTAAAAAATGAGCATATTTGCTCAACTTGTCAACTATCACCAAAATCACTGTGTGACCCATCGAGTTTGGCAAACCTTCAATAAAATCCATAGACACCTCATCCCAAACTCTGAGAGGTATTGGCAAAGGCTGTAGTAATCCTGCTGGATTTAGAGTTTCATACTTATTTTTCTGGCAAATGTCGCAGCCTCTTACAAACTTGCACACATCCTTCTTCATCTTTTTCCAGTAAAAAATAGCAACTAACTTCCTCATTGTAACCTCTGCACCAGAGTGTCCCCCCAAGGCTCCTGCATGAATCATTGCTATTAATTTTTGCTTCAAATTATCAGTATTGCCAACCATCAATTTCCTTTTTCTGCGTAGCTGCTGATCTACAAAAGAATATTTTGGATAAAAAGGTGGTGTCTTTTGTATTTCTTGGATAAGTGACTGCAACTTATCATCGTGAACCCATGAAGACTGAATCTCTTCAAGAAAGTCAGTAGTGACCATAGACATGGCTCGTAGAGATACTTCATGACTAGTGATCCTTGATAGAGCATCTGCTACATGATTTTCTGCCCCTTTCTTGTAACTGATCTCATAATCATAACCCAACAATTTGGAAAGCCATTTTTGCTGTGCAGGGGTAGCAATTCTTTGCTCCAACAAGTATTTCAAACTGTGATGATCAGTTTTGATAACAAAGTGTCTCCCAACTAGGTACGGCCTCCACTTAGTGACTGCCATAACCAGAGCCAATAATTCCTTTTCATAAGTAGATAGCCCCTGATGCTTAGCTGCTAGTGCCTTGCTTAGAAATGCAATTGGATGTCCCTTTTGCATTAGTACTGCACCTACACCAGTTCCTGAAGCATCTGTTTTAATGATAAATTCTTCTTGGAAGTCAGGTAAGCTAAGACAGGTGCAGAAGACATGGCTTGTTTCAAAGCTTCAAAGGCTTGCCAAGCTTCCATATTCCAAACAAAGTTATTCTTCCTTAATAGATTTGTAAAAGGTTTGGCTATAACACCATAATGCCTAACAAATCGTCTATAGTACCCTGTTAGGCCTAAGAACCCCTTTAATTCCTTGACAGATTTAGGAACTGGCCAAGCTTGCATTGCACTAATCTTTGCTTAATCAGTAGAAACACCCTTAGCAGAAATGGTATGCCCCAAATACTCAATTTCTTGTACTCCAAATGCACATTTACTTTGCTTTGCATAGAAAGTGTTGTCCATCAAAGTTTGGAGTACTAGCTGCAAGTGTTGCAGATGCTGTTCCCATGTCCTACTGTAAACTAGAATATCATCAAAAAAGACAAGCACAAACTTCCTTAAGAATTGCCGAAAAGCATCATTCATTACAGATTGGAAGGTGGATGGAGCGTTTATAAGACCAAAAGGCATCACCAGAAACTCATAATGACCTTGGTGAGTCCTGAAAGCGGTCTTATGAATATTTGACTCCTTCATTCTGATCTGGTGATAACCAGACCTTAAATCTATCTTGGAAAAGAATTGAGCCCCATGTAATTCATCTAATAGTTCCTCGATAACAAGCATTGAAACTTATCCTTCACAGTAGCCTTATTTAGCTCCCTGTAATCAACACACATTCTCCAAGTCCCATCTTTTTTCTTGACCAACACAACCGGGGAAGAAAATGGACTGGTGCTGCTCCTGATAAAACCAGACTCTAACATCTCTTTTACCAACTTCTCCATCACATCTTTTTGCACTACAGGGTACCTATAAGGCCTTATACTTATAGGTTCTGTTCTTGCTTTCAGAGTAATTTGATGATCAAGGGTTCTAGCTGGTGGTAAGGCATCAAGTTCCGAAAATACATCACTATACCCCTCCAACAACTTCTAAAGCTCAGTAGGAATCCCACTAGATTCCAAGCTGTCCAACTCTACTTTGGCCGCAGCTGGAGTTACCATTTGGACCAAAAAAAATTTGCTTTTTTCTGAACAATCTTCCTTTCGCAAGGTGTAAATCATCTGGTCAGATTCAATCCATTTCAACTGGGGACTAGGAGCTGCATCTAGCTGTACCATCTGCCCTTGATACATAAATTGCAAAGTCCTCTTGCTGAAATCCCAAAGAACCTTTCCCAATGGTTCTAGCCACTGGATTCCCAAGATAAGATCATATTCACTCAGAGGTAATAATAAGACTTCAGTACTAAAAACCAGATTTTGCACCTTCCATTCAAAGCTCTTGCACCATTCAGCTCTTTTAATCTGGTTACCATCAGCCATATTAACCTGATAAGGCTTCACCCTGTCAGTTATACAATCAAGCTTCTTGGCCAGTCTAACATCAAGGAAGTTATGAGTACTCCCTGAATCAATTAGAATCAAAATTGGCCTTTTTTTGACAAAGCCTATCACCTTCAATGTATTATATGCTTGTTCACCAGTTAGAGGATGAATGGAAATCCTTGGCTCAATAGTAGATAACTGGTTCAGACTTTGAGTTTCCTCCATTTCATCATTCTCCACATCAATTTCTTCATCTGTGGCTTGAATTTCTAGATTGTACAACCCTTTCTTAGCACATCTGTGTCCAGGTGTATACTTCTCATCACACAAAAAGCACAATCCCTTCCTTTTCTTATCTTCCATCTCAACTTCAGTAAGGGTGCGGGTATTTTTGGTCTTATTTTGGGTTTTGGCCATTGAGGAGATCAAGGAACTGTTTTGAGGGGTAAATGGTGGAGGTCTTGGGAAATTATGGTATGAGTTTGGGTTTGTGTATTGGGGTAATTTCTGAATATTGGAAGTTAATGGCGGAAGTGGGGGTAAATTTCTGGGGTTAAGGCTCAGGTTCTTGGTTATTCTAATGATGGAGTTTATGGACAGCTCTTGTTGCTTAGCAATAGAATAAGCTTCCACCACTGATTTGGGATTGTAACACGCCACAGGGTGTTGCAACTCTTCCTTCAACCCTCCAACAAACATGGCCATTGCTTGTTTCTCACTGCATTTTACCCTGGACCTAATCTTTTCAAAATCTCTCTGGTAATCATTCACACTACAAGTTTGATTAAGATTCTTCCACAGAATAATTGGGTCCTGCATCTCACCCTCCCCAAATCTAAGACTCATGTCAAAAATATAATCTCGCCAATCCGAAAATGTCATCTTGTCTTGCATATAGCATTCATGCCAGATAATAGCATCACCAGACAAGTACATTGAAGCTATTTCTACCTTATTCTCATCAAGAATATTATGAGCCTTAAAGAATCTATTGCACTTATACAGCCATCCCCTAAAATTCTCAATACCATCATAGCTAGGAAAATCCACCTTGCCAAACTTTGTCAAACTAGCTATAGGATCAATAGTATTTGAGCTTTCAGGGAACTTTACCGAACAACATGTCTGATGAGTGCAAGTTGGTTGTTGCGTCTGTCCTTGGGAGGTTTGGGCGACCACCGGAGAGGAAAGCTTCCCGGTGTTGATGATTTGTACCAACTTCGCAAGTTCTTCCCTCAGAGCATTCATATTCTCAACTTGGGCCTTCAAAGTATTGTCGATATTTGCTATGTCCGCGTCATGTTTCTTTTGGAATTCAGCAAACTCTCGCCTCAACTCTTGAGTAGCCATCACCACAGGTCCAAGCAATCACAGCTCTGATACCAATTGATAGCACAAGAACCTAGAAAATCAAGAATCAAGAAAAAAAGGAGAAAGTAGAGACAAGGAGGAAGAAGAACCAGAGAAGGAGGGAGAACTAGAGAGGAGAGAAAAGGGTCTAATTCTTTATTCATCAATCAACAAAAGAATTACAAAGCGCAATCCCCTTATATATTTAGGGTTAATTACAAGAGATAGTTCTAACTAACTATAAGCTGTTCTAACTAATCCGCAAGTTTCTCGCTAACCACTTGCACAGTCAGCATAACCTTCCAACTGCAAATCCACTTCAGCTCCAGCTCAGCAGTACTGGCCTATCATTTGAACCTGTATCAGGCGTGAGGCGCTGGGCACTGGTCACGGTTGGTGCAACGCTAGAGTGCAGGGGCAAGGGCACTAGTTCGGTGCAGGGGGGTGGTTGGCTGGAGGTTGTTGATGATGATGAAGAAAGTTCCAGATCCCCTTTTGGTTTTTCTTTCGTTTATTTCCCTTTTTTTTTTTTTTGGGCTTGTTTGGGTTAAATGGGTTTGGTATTTGGGCTTGGATTTTGGGCTTATTTTTATGGAATTGGGTCATTTAAGATGGGTTTGAGAAATGGGCTAGATTTATAGCTTAAAGGATTTCACCCCCGACTTTTGATTTCTTCAATTGAGTCCCTTGTTCTTCAACTTCTCCCTTTTCCAATTTTCTTTGCAAAAATCCCCATTGTTGCTCATAAACCTAACAATTAAAACAAAGAAAAAATACAGTAGCTAAAAAATAAAATTTTACTAAAATTTGAGTTATGACAACGCCATAATGATTTTACCGTATCATGAATCTTTGGCTCCCATTGAAATTTTTGCTGGGGAAAAAAAAAGCATGACAATGTGTTAGAAATATTTACAAATATATTTTAAAATTAAATAAATAAAAGATGAGCCATACGCAAAACTCATTCCAATAATAATCTCGATGCTTTTTTGGAGCGAATCCCCATGCAATATAAGCATCTGGAAGATTATCCTTTAACTGCACAACAATTTCCTGTCTAATATCTTGTGGGATATTACCCTCATCATCAAGCACCAATGGAATTTTACTGCCATCTGTTGGCATTTTCATTGGTTTTGCCTTTCCCCGTCCCTTCTTTAGACGTGGTGCTGGTTCTGTATCATTTGGACTGCTAGAACTATGAACAGTCTCAAGAACTATATCAAGTGTAGCATCTTGATCGATTCGACGTTGAGGATTGAACTAAGATTGATGTTTATTGGGCTGAGATGCATCAACTGTCTCTATACATCGTGAAATACAAAGTCCGCTGTAAAAATAATAAAAAGAAAAATAAGTTCATTAGTAAATTAACTTAATGACAATAGATTAAAATTAACATACCAAATAAAATAAATTAACATTTTAAAATAAAACAAATATAATTATATAAATACAAACTAAAAAATATCAACTAAATTATAATAAAAAAAAACACAGTACATGTAATATAATTATAGCATTTAATAGATTAAGATTAATATGTGAAATAAAATAAATACAATTAAAACCATACAAAACATGTAAAGTAAACTACCAAATATTAACAAAATTACACATAAAAAACAAATAATATAAATAATATAGTTTTAGAAGTTCAAATAAGCAAATATAAACTTAATTTAATAACAACTAGTTTTGACAACAAATTCGCCTACTCATCGCTACTATCATTTTCAGAAATATAAGCTTCCATGTTTTCTTCATCAAACGTTTCAAAGTCTTCCCACTCCCCTTCATCATCCTTTTCTCCAATCTCTTCCTTATCATCTACTTCTTCATGTACTTCAACAAGTGTTCCATCATAATACTGTACAAGTTCATAACTTATCTCATAAATATTTATTGGGTGAGGAAGAGAAGGGTCATCATCTTGATAATATGGTGCTAATCCTTCTTCATGGCTAACCTCATTCTATGGAGCCTTAATGATACTCTTGGCCCTAATTTAAGGGGCAGCAACCCATCCCTTTCTTTGATGATTAATATATGGGTATGGAGTGTAATACACCTACTTAGCCTGACTAGCTAGAATAAAAGGCTCATAAGCTCGAAGGTATCTTCTTGGATTAATATCAACTAGTCGATGTTTTTGATCGACTCTAACCCCATGAGCTGGAGGAATCTCATACCAGTCACATTTGAATAAAACAACTGCTTGTCGATGGATTGATCCAAAGTACTCAATTTGAATGACTCCTTGAAGCACCCCATAGAAATCATAGTCTGATTCAGTTCTAATAGATCCCACAACACAGAAACCATAATTCATTGTTCTCTTATTTTTACCATAGGTGGCAGTTTGAAATCTAAATCCATTGACAATATATCCATTATAACATGAAATTGTATTCTTTGGACCACTGGATAAGCCTTTTATGTGCTCATGGACATTAATGAACTCATCACTTCTTACCTAAAATGAACATATTTCGGAAAATAATATTAGATGTATTTGAAAGGAAACAACATATGTTAAGAAATTGAATGTTGTCATATGAAAAAATACTCATAGCTTGTTCAAACCAAGGAACAAGATCTCTCTCTTGTTTTGCTTGAATTTGTTGAGGATTCATATTCATGCATTGTTCTCTTTCAAACAAACTATAAAATTGTAATACCCCAAAATTTTGTGATATTTAGCATTAAGTTAGGGACTTGTTTAAGAAAGAAATATTGTTTTGGGGCTTATTAGCCAAAATGTCCAAACTTGAAGGACTTAAAAGGGTAGAAATTTGGATAAGGACCCGGTATTTTTTCTTCCTTCTTCCCCAGCCATTTCGCATTCTGCCCTTCTTTCTTCCCGCTGCAGCCTAAAAAAAAAAAAAAAAAGGAACCCAGCCAAGCCGACAGCCCCACTTGGAAAATTGGTAAGGAAGCTTGGATTTTTCCTTTCTTTTCTTGTCCAAGAACCAGATTTGGAGCAGAAAAACCTTCCCCCCTTGCAGGAAATTTCGGATCTGCCTTGCTTTGCTCCTCACCGCCGGCTGCTCCTGCTTTGTGGGGGCGAATTGCTTTGATTTTCTTGTAAGAAACAGCCATGAATCTCCCTTCTCCAGCTTTAATTGCCTTGGGTTTACCTTAATTGCTCTTGGTTCCTTCAATTTTGGGTAAAACCCGTGAGTTCCCTGCAGAATTTCTTCTTCCATGCCGCCGGCCTTCCCCCAAATTGCAGCTCCGGCCTTGTTGGTTGGATTTCTTGGTATGTGACAACTTTATTTAAGTCCAATTACTGTTAATTTGCTGCCTTGTGGTGTCCGAAAATCTGCAGAAAATGGGGGGAGTTCCGGTAGCTTTAGGATAAAGTTTAAGCATTGATTCAAGTGGAATTTATGTGATTGAGTGTTAATTGACTGTTGTGAGATTTTGGAGAACAATCCCGTGAAATTAGCTAGTGTTTTGGCCAATTTTGGAAGTGCAGTTACTGTTTATGGATACTGTTCACACACTAATGGCCAGCCAACAATTAACGTAGATTTAAATGTTTAGTTTGTACTATGAGAACAAATTTGGAGATATTTGATCATGTGGAAATTGATAGAAATAGCATCGTCATTAGGGTGATCCTAATGATGATTTCACTTTGAATCTGTGGTAATGCGATGTTAATTCTGGAATATTTTGATTAGATTTCTGATCGTTCTGTCAGTTTAGCATTGAGATCGAGTCTTCGGTTTTATGCGATTGAGGTAAGTAAATTTATGGTAACGCCATTCGATTTTAAAAGTATGTTTTGACTTGTTTTTGAAATAGTGGCGGGACTAAACCTGTTTTACACGAGCATGACTGATTTGAAGTGAAATTTTTATGCTTTTCATTAAATTGAGCATGCCTACTTGAAATTTAATTGATTGTCCTGATGATCTGAAAGTGATTGGTTAATTATGATTTTTCTGTTAACTTCTGCCTGTTTTGTCTCCGATGTGGTCATGTTATTAGTGACCCTGCTAGTGGGGGAGTTTATAAATGCTAGCACATGTCGACATGTATTTCTGTAGAGCCGGTTTCTCCTGCCAGTGGGAGTTGTTAAACACTGGTATTTCAGTGACCTGCTAGTGGGGGTTATACACCAGCAAATAGTGTGCCTGCCAGTGGGAGGTTTATAACACTGGCCATGACCTATAGAGGAGACGTCTATTTCGTTCTCGTACTGTATCCGTTTTTCGTGCTTACACTTGTTGGCATGCTATAACTTTAATAAGGGGCACTCCATATTTTACTTACTGAGTTTATCTCATAGTTTTCCTTGTCCACCATTTCAGGAAGCGAAACCGAGGACGGGGAAACCACGGGAAGTGACGAGTTAGAAGGCTAGCCCTTTCGAGATTGATATAAATTTTAGAAATAAATCATGATCTTGTAAACTAGACTTTGTTGGAGATTTATGATATTAGAGCAAATTATAAAATTTGATGGTACCAGATTATAATATGATAAGTTTCGAGCTTTGTGCATTTGTAGGACCCGTCTCACAAGTGCACGGCGTCTGTCACGTCCTCAGATTTGGGTTCTGCGGCGTGACAAAAATGTTATATAATTTTTCATTGTTAGTATATTAATTTCACATAAATTAATTCAGATGATAAATTAATATGAGAAATTATAGAGAGTTACTCACTTGACCCATCTTCGCAATTCTTCACAATTCATTAACAAATAATATGAAGCAGCTTTGCACTCCTCTGCCGTCAAGTAACATCTCATAATCTTTGAACCAATAGGTTTCCCAACATATGTAAAGATGGACAGTCCACAATTTGTATCGAATCCACCAACAATATTCCTAGAGGGGCGGTCACTTCTACCATCAACTCCTTCATCAAAGTAATGTGAGATAAAGTTTGTGATCTCAGACATTATGTAACTCTCACATATGGATGCTTCTGGGCGTGCTTTGTTTTTGACTGTCAACTTAAGACAATGCATTCGCCTGATTCATCAAGAATTACAATATAATTTCTTTACAAATAAAATATGGAAGTATATTCCTATACACATTAATTATAAGTTAGTAATAATTACCTTTCAAATGAATACATCCATCGGTATTGCACCGGTCCACCTACACATGCCTCATATGCAAGGTGGATTATAAGGTGTTCCATAGAGTCAAAGAATGAAGGTGGAAAAATCCGCTCTATTTGGCAAATGATTTCTACTATCTTCTCCTACCACATTGCCATATCATTGGCCCGAATCACAGGAGCACACAAGGCCCTAAAAAACTCACTAATCTCAACAAGAGGCTCCCAAACATGTTTCAGTAGTAAATCACGAAATGCAATTGGCAGGAGGCTTTGCATGAAAATGTGACAATCATGACTTTTCATATCGAACAATTGTGCCTCTCGCATATTCACACATCGAGATATGTTGGATGTAAACCCATTTGGGAATCTAAGTTCTTTTAACCACTGACATACTGATTTTCTTTGATCCCTGCTTAGAACATAAGTGGCCTTAGGTTTTTTACTTGATTCCGATCCTGTTTTAGGTATGTGGAGACTTTTCCTTTTACAATACAATTCTAGATCAAGTCTTGCATTTCTATTGTCCTTTGTCATTGGATCATCCATTGCTGTATGTAGGATATTATCAAAAAAGTTTTTCTCATCATGCATGACATCTAAATTGTGTCAAATCAAATTTATATGCCAATATGGTAATTCCCAAAAGATACTCTTTTTAACCCAGTTATGAATCTCACCAAAGCCTTGAATTTCTTGTTTTTGAGGTGGCTTGCCAAATAGTATATTAGGTAGCCATTGGACATGACTACGCACCTTATCACCAGATAATCTCTCTGGCATGGTTGTATTCTCTACACATCCCTTGGTGAAATCATTCTTATTTCTTCGAAATGGATGATCTTGTGGCAAAAACTGTCAGTGATAATAAAAAAATGATGTCTTCCGACCATGTTGTAGCCAAAAGACTTTTGAATTTTCCATGCAATATGGACAAGCTAATCTACCATGTGTGCTCCATCCAGACAACATTGCATACCTAGGAAAGTCACTAGTGGTCCACATAATTGCAACCCTCATCAGGAAGTATTGATGTCTAAAGCTATCATAAGTTTGGACCCCAGAGTACCAAAGTTGTTTAAGATCATCAATTAGTGGCCGCAGCATTACATCAATGTTCTTTCCAGGACTTTGGGGACCTTGGATAATCAATGAAAGAAATACATACTCTTCCTTCATGCACATTGCAGGAGGCAAATTGTAAATTGACACAAAGACTGGCCAACAAGAGTATGGAGATGCAGATTGTCCAAAAGGAGTAAACCCATCAGTGCATAGGCCTAGCCTGACATTACTCGGTTCATTAGCGAAGTCAGGATGGGTGCGATCAAAGTGTTTCCACGCATCTCCACATGCAGGATGAACAATTTTTTCATTTTCATTACAACAATTCAAATGCCAGATCATATGCTCGGTAGTTTTCCTAGACATGTACAATCTTTGAAGTCTAGGAATAATTGGGAGATACCATAAAGACTTTCTTGCTATGGGCTTAGCAGAATGAACATCACTCTGCTTAAATTGTGGCTCTCCACATACCGGGCACTCTAAATAGCACTGGCTTTCAAATTCTTCATAATACAAAAAACAATTGTTCACACAAATATCATACTTTTTATACCCGAGACCGAGGCATCTCAACATCTTCTTGGCACTATAATAATCTTTTGGCAATTTCTCTCGATCATTTTTTTTGAATGCCATTAGACTACGTTTTATCACATAGTCCCAATTAGTGACACTCATATTAAAAAAGTGTCTTTGCATTTACAAGCTCACACACCCACTTTTTGAAATGGTGACACCATCATCACACCCATCAAAAAGAGGTGTCTCAGCTGCTTGTAGGAGATCAAAGAACTTTTTTGCATCTCCTCTGGGCTCTTCAAATATTGACTCATCACCACCAGATGCATCCTCAAAACCACAACCAAATTGCACTACATCTTCTATAACAGTAGCACTATTTTCATTATTAAAAAAACAGGCTCCATGGCATCATGAAACATATCTTTAAGCTGATCAACACTTGGAATATTATTCATAGTGGCAGTCGCACTTGATGACTCACCCACCTGGGGGCAATGTCTTTTCTACTTATAATTTCTCCATGTCTATTACAAATAAAGTACCCATCCATGAAGCCATTTGTGATGAGATGAGCCCTCACTTTAGGTCGATGGTGCCACTCTCTATTCAAACACTTAGTACATGGGCAACGAATCATATTTTTAGCACAAAACATTGAGTCTGTCTGTGAAAATGCAAAATCTAAGAAACTATCCACTCCAACATCAAATTCATTGTTCCAATATCCCATCTCATCACGATGACGATACATCCAACTTCAGTCTCCTTCCATACTTACGTAGTGCCTTGAAATTTAATAATATTGTAATAATACACAAAAAAAATGAGAATCATAAATAAAAATTTGAAATTATATAAATTACATTAAAATGATTACCCATTTAGATAATTGTAAATAAACCTCTTCTATAGTTTTGCA